TTGGTCTCTAGTTGAGAAGACATTTGAGAGAGATTCATCATTGTTGTTAGGAACCTTCATTGACTAACTTTTGGGGATACAGATATAGCTGGAAAAAAACGGGGCTGAAAACACTGTGAACCATGTTTGTAGCTTTTCTTTACTGTTGCTAGAATAAAATTCTGAAATGCAAAAATATCACAACTCTTTTATTCTGCCCAGAAAACACCTTAATTTAGAACATGAATAGATGCTACCATTTTTATTTTATAGAACAAAAATAAAAAAAAATGTTCTTATGTTTTCTGTGGAACACATGACAGGACTGGATCAAAAACAATGAAGTTTTTCTCCGTGCAAAGATGGAGAACCTAGAAACCATCATGACTTGCCACCAATGGGTTGGACACCTTGCCCAAATACCAGACATCTACCTACCAAAACAAATCCTCTTTTTAGAGCTTGCATCTGGCAAGAGATCATGTGGATCTCCATGTCGTCAATTCAAGGATCAGCTCAAAAACACCTTTTTCAGGACATTAATCAATCTGGTCAATTAGGAGATGGAAGCTGCTGGACGAACCAATTGAAGCAGAGCAGTCCACAAAAAAAAACAAAACAACATCCTTCAAAAACACCAGAAGACAAATAGAAGAGACAAAGAGAGCCCAAAGAAAAGTCAGAGCTCTCCATCCCCTGGACCCTACTATGTGGTGACTGTGGACATCTCTTCAGATCCAATATCGAACTCATTTCACACAGAAAGAAATGTCAATAAGCTCTCTAATACTCGACAACAAGCTCCACCAACAACAATTATTGTCTAAATTGTGTTTTATTTTAACTGAATTTGAGTCATTTTTGAGAACAAAGAACAAATCAACTTATTTATTTACTAGGTTATGCATGTCTTCATAAAAATGATGACAATATTTAAATAATTTTGTATAGCATTGTAATTATATAATAGCAAACCTTTGTTCTTCTGCATTTTCTTGTTCAGTACTTCTTGAATATGAAATTAAAAGTAAAACTCATATTATGTTGAGTCATAAATAATTTACAATTTTGTTTATCAATTATCCACTTTGTTCTTTTTGCTAAGAGTGTTTAGAACCCAAACACCTGGTTTGCTGACTTTCCTTATCTTTTCTTAGTGTCAGTTATCATGATGAACAGGTATTCTCTCAGGGAGTACTGGGACTTAAACTCAACCCAGACCTCAAGTAGAACTTGTACATACATTAACTGCTAGTCCATCTGAATCAACTCTAAAACATTGTATCTCATTTAAATTTACATATTGATAAATTCATTTATTTATCATTGTATTATATAAATCTGTAAAAAGGTGTATGATTGTCAGAAGTTGTTACTTCTCTGTGTTGGTATTGACAAATGGGAAGTATTGGAGTAGGATATCTTAGATGATTAAAAGGAAACTAAGTCAAGCAATAAGTTTTTGATCAAGGCAGGTTGGATTCAGTAGGTCACAGAATCAGGTTATTGGGTAATCAAGTGAAAAGTGGCTGATACTTGTGTGGCTACAACTTGGTAAATGGTTCAAGGTACTCTCCTGAAATATTGTGCTGTCAAACTAATCTAAGAATAAAGTATATATGAGGAAGTACTAAAAAATTCTCAGTCCAAACAAGAAAGGAATGGCCTAGATCCATGAAGTGTACATAGTATTTGATCTTATTCTGTTTGCCTGATTTTATAGCAGTGCTGAGTAGGGCTAATAGCAATTATCACTTGATAGTTTGGGAATCAGTGTACATTAAGTCCTACCAGCCAGCTCACTGTAAGCAGAAGTAGTAGTTAGTGGGCTTAAAGGTTAAACCTTTAATGTTATTTTTTTTTTTTGCATATATCATTCATCTGGAGTTGTATATTTTTTTAGTTGTTGTGCATATTTCTTTGTCCTCAATTTTTGCTCTGATGAGATAGGACTGATAAACTAGTTTAACTGTTTTTAACCATTGCTATGTCTTGGTATTACCATCTTACAGTAATATATCTTTTTTGTTATGAATTGCTTTTTAATATGTCTGCTTTTATTGCTCTAACATGTTTTTCCATATATTCCCACTGCAGTTCATCATATTTGGCATATTGTTTCTTGAGTTTCTTTAATCCTTTAAAAAAGAAAAAAGTTTGGGCACTGTTGGCCCTTCATACCCACAAAAAATGGAGTGTCAAAAGCACAGTTTTTCTCTTGACACCACTATTATTTTAACTACCTTCACTCCACAGCAATGTTTATTGTTTTAAAAAGTGATGACTAAAATTTTAATAAAACCTAAACATATGACAGTGAATTTATACATTTGCTTTATTCTTGAGAATTTACAACAAAAGTAATAAACATTATTTATTTATTAGATTGTTTATTTACACTATTTATTTATTGGAAGTGTTGACAAAACATCAGCTAACTACAATCAATTTGAACTTTATAAAATGGTAAATAATAAGGATTTCCTTATTGTTGGTTCACATAATTTAGTAAATGTTTGAAAATTTATGAATAAAAAATTGTTTTTGTATTTATCTCTTTATAAATTGGTAAATGATAAATATTGCATTGCATTAGTTTGAATACAATTGTATTAGTTTTTAGAATGTTGTAAATATAAAATTATACAATACAATTTTACATTAGTCTATATTTTTGAGATGAGGTATTGTAAATATTCATACTAGTTACATACTTCAGATTGTTGTGAGTTCAATACCTGGCCACAGCAGAGGTGAACAAAAACTTGGAGAGTTGAGTTACTAAAGGGAATTAACTGAAACTGAGATATCTAGAAAAAGGCATGGCATGTGGAGCTAGAACAATCTACCCCCATGGACTAAATAAAGTGTCTGTTTTAAAATTCCAGTGTATATCACCTGAAGAAGATCAGAACATACAATGGCCAAAATGTTGTGAATATGGCAGTCTGAATGATGTAGTTTAGATACAATTCTAATCATCACTTTTTAAAACATAGCTGAGGAGTGAAGGTAGTTAAAATAATAGTGGTGTCAAGGGAAAACTATTCTTTTGACACTGGTTTTTGCAAGCTAGATAGTCCAAGATGGCCAAAGTTTAGTCATTGAAACACTTCTCTGCTGCTACTAGTACTATTATCTCTAAATCATTCAACATTTTACTCCTTTCCGAACTCTTTTTAAGATTTAAAAACAGGAAATAATAAAAAAAAAGATCTGATTAGTAGGGTGGATGGTTTCTACATTCAATTCCCAAATTCTTCAGAATCGAATTGGAAATGTCCACTTGATAGCATGTCTAGAGGACATTCAGTTACTTTAGTGCCCATTTAACTGACATATCCTGCATACCCAACTACTCATGAATTCTAAAGCCTGTTCTTTCTTTTGATATCTCTAGTGTAAATTCTTTTTGGCTATCGATATTTACATGCAAACTATTGTCCTCATCTTTGTTGTTACTGTCACAATGTTTCAACCAATGTACCATCCGTGCTTTATTATGTATAACGAGCCAGGTAATCTACAGGGAATTCTAAACTGAACCCATTATTTAATTTTTATTTATTCTGGACAACAGATGAGTGGTTTGCTTAATAATGTTTCTTTTTTTTTCTTATTTTTTCACATTCAGTAACCCATTGTATCTTAGTGGCTTTACTGCCTTGCATAGGGTGATATTAAAAAAAAAACAATCTGTAAAAAGCATTTTTTATTATATGACTTCCAGCCTTTGAAGAGTGAAGATGGTCACTCTGAACAGACATGTGTATGAGACAAAAACAGAAACATTTTTCAGTATCTGTCTATATTCAAGGACTCATGGCACAGTGGATAAAGGCATTAGTTAGATCCAGTGACAGGACCCAAAGAGTGTGAGTTCAATACCTGGTTAAGGCAGTGGAGAACTTGGAGAGGGGAATTAACAGGAGATAACTGACATCCATTAAACGTGGAACTAGAACAGTCTACCACAGTGAGTGAAATAAAGGGTTCAGTTCAACATTCCAACCACCTGAAGAAGGACGGAGCATACAATGGCAGAAACGTTGTAATAAATATGGTGACAAAGATAAGGACAATAGTCTGAATAATGTAAATAGAGAAACATTTTTAGAAGAAAAAAATAAAGTGCAATCAAAACAGAAATTATAAATACTAAAAAATAAACCAGTCATTTTAAAACTGAAACATTAATTATCTCCCATGAAGACATTATTTTAATATAGCTCTGTATACTTAACCTCATCATCAGCTGCACATTCTAAATTAAACATTAAATCTACTCTCAGGTACTTATGCTAAAAATCATTAATTTCCATGGCTAAAATCCTATGGCAGCATTCAAAATATGAATATAAAATTCATAAACAACTTAGTTCATTAACATTGAGCATCTGTATTATTCATCAATATTATTTCTTTTTCCATTGCATTCTTTTTCAAGGTCTTTCAACTGTCACAGGTTTGTTGTTGATTTCAGTCAAGGTATTTTCTGTTACCATGACAACATATCCATGAAGCGCAAACACTGATGCTGGAGTTTTCTGCAACAGCAGAAAAACTTTTTCATTGTCAAATATCATCACCTACAGAGTATTAAAACAAAAGATATTAGCTATGGAAGATCAAAGGTGAAAAAACTGATTTCTAAATATGATTGCAAACAACAATAAAAGACATGGGGATGGTTCAGATAATCATAAGGTACAATGAAATGAAACAAGTATAACAAGATTTTTTAAGGAAAAAGTTTTATATTTGATTTTAAATACAATAGATGCTATATATCAACTGAATTCAAGGGAAAAAATTAAAATTTGTTGTAAAGTAAAGCATTTAAAACATTGGCTTATTTTTATTTTATAAGAAAAGTCATCCTTCAATTAATGTTTTTTTAATATTAATACAATTATTAGTTGATACAAATTGCAATCCATATTTGAAATTTTTTTCATTTTATAACATTTCAGATTGTCTCAGACCTAAGACTTTCCTTTAGGTCTGGTGCCACCAAATATATGGAATGGCGCCGGCAGCAGCTCAGGGCTCTCCTGGCCTTAATGGAAGAAAACAAAGATCTTTTTATTGAAGCTCTGAGGAATGACTTGTACAAGGTGAGTTAACAAATAAATAAATAATCAATAAAAAAAAAATATTCTTTAGTCTTTGTTATTGAATTTGAAGTGGTAGAGGTGAAGAATACAGATACATTCTTTTGATTGATGCACAAATATTCATATAGCAGAACTTTTCATATTCTAATAAATGACTTGAAATTCAAAGAAAGATTCTGTGTTAATTGAATTCTATTGCCATTAAGTAAGCTGCATAGAACAAAAATAAAGAATGGTTCAAATATTGTCTAAATATTTGAACTTTTAATTTGGTGCGTCTATTTGACATAGACATTGCCTTACTGACTTGTTGTAAGAGATCCAGCAATAGACAAAATATAAATTTAATCATATAGCTATATTCTTCATTTTGCAAAAATAAAAACTTGTCAAAATTAATAATAAATAAACTTCACTGAATATTGTTACTCAGTTTTCATTTGCTTTAATGTTTCAGCATCCCTTTGAGAGTCTTATGATGGAAATTGACTTTGTTTGCAATGAGATTATCAGTGCTCTTAATAACTTAGCTTCATGGATGGCTCCTGAAAAGGTAATTGGCTTTACATTTTTGTTTCATTTACCATAATTTCTCAAAAATAATACATATTTTTTACTGTAAATTACAGGTGATAGTAGGGGTGCGTATTATAAATAGGTTTAAACAAAAACATTTTTTTCATTATTGATTTATAATAATAAATACATACTTGTTCTAAAATAGATATTATCCCAATTTTCATTTTAAATCCAATAATAATAATTGTAACATTTTTTGTCAATAAATTTATGTTTATCAGTAACTGCATTTTTTATTTGGCAAAAAAATAAAAAATCTATAAAAAGGCCAATTTTGAAGAAAAGAGGATATCAAGTTAACAATTTATTGAAATTTTAATTTTCACCACCACCACCACTTTCTATTATAGAATCAATATCTAAATTGTCATTAAACAAATTATCATTCACAATATTATCTTCCTCCTATTGATTCCAAAGGATGTCATCTTCAGAGCCAGCCATGGCTGTTGTGAGACAACAGTTCTTGAAACTTTTCTTTATAACATCCTCACTGACAGAATCCCAAGATTCCTGAATCCATTTTACAATAAGTTCCAACTCTGGTTTTTTCCTGCTGCCACCAGCAGTAAAACATTATTTTAGCCACTTAGTTTTGATTTTATTCTTAATGTCAAGGTCGAGAAAATGTCTTCATAATTATTTATAGTTTTATTGGGTATAGAGAAGACTGTATCACTACACTGGTTTTTAATTTTGGGTTAGCAAAAGCAGGAAAGTTAGCTCAAATAGGGATACACAATTATATTAAACATTATAAAAAGGAAGGTTGTATTTACTCTTTGACAAAAAAAAAAGATCAATTTAGAACAGTGCAAAATTATGCTTGTCTATGTATCTGTAAAACTAACAATATTTTTGGTGGGGAGAGGGCTGGGAATGTAAATCCCACATGATAGGATGGTGAAACTTATCTAATCTAAGAGCCATATATAATAAACTTCAATAATCTGTGGTGAGTACAAAATGTTATTAAAGCTTTAAAAAGAGATGTTTTAAAAATATATATAAATGTATCAGTCAGTTATGTGCCATGTGTGATACATGCTTAGGCGATCATGTATCTTTCGATACATGACTGACGAGGCAGAATTTTTTCCTGCAGTAGGTTGCCATTTCTTTCTGCAGTAGACCAGTTGTCATCCTAGGCTGTAAAATCCGCTCTGTCCTGCTATTTACCCATAGCTGTGAGGGGGGGGGAGAAGAAGAAGAGGAGTCATACTTTTCCCAAGGGTATTAGCACATAAGCGAATGTAATGGATTCAACTGGAATTCAAAGTCAACTCTCTGATTCCTCAATCCAAGTTGCTATCCATTACTCCACCATGCCTCCTCATATAAATGTATACAAAAATATAAAACAAAAAGGAGAAAGAGCAAGAATAAGCAAAAACTTACTCATCATAAACTGGATGAATTGAAAAAAATATAACAACAAAAAAGAAATCACGAAAAAAAAAGGCTCACCTGTTATCACTCCACTCTCTTCAGAGCCAGTTGCAGACAAAAAAAAAAAAAAATAAATAATGGGCACAATAACTAAAAAAAAAAACTCAGTGTTGTATAGTGTTGATTTACAAGAGGTGATCAGTAGTCAACTACCTCTGGCAGCAAGGCCTCTGATCGGGAGGTTTTGAGGAGCATGAAATCACTTCTTAATTGCTGTTGTTCTCAGGTCCAACCTGACCTGGGGTGGTAGCACCTGTTAGGGTCCCTACTATGGGCAAATAGTTAATCCCCAAACTGGGGTCAAAAAACTATGAAAGTATAAAAATACATTTTTATAATAAAAATACCAACAATACATTTTCATAGTAAAAAAAATATACCAGCAATTTATTTTTATAAAAAATAAAAATTATCAGTAATACATTTTTGTAAAAGAAATTACTAATGTTCCCAAGAAAATTAAATTTTAGCATTAAATGACCGATAAGGAGTTGATATGCCACAAAACAAACAAACAGTAGTCCACTTCTTCCTGACTGACTCTTTAATCTACACTTTATTTATCCTATAACCAACATATTCAAACAGGAAAAAAATCCTATTTGCCAATCCCACTACACCTCCCTGAACCAAAGAGGTTTAATGCCTTTCATTATTCTTGAATTTCTTCTCCAACATGGAGATCTTGGTTTCATTTCATTTTCTTCCATCACAACACAGCAAAAAATTACTACCAGGGAATCAACAGTATAAATCACAGGCAAGTTGCTGTGCACATAGTTTTTGCCCTCAATTGGCTCTGAAGAGTGAAGAGTGATAGCCAATTAGTCCTTTTTCCTTAGTTTTTTTATCTTTATTTTTTTGTTATATTCTTTTGATTCAGCACTTTACTGTGAGTAATTTTTTCCTATCCTTGCTCTTCTTTCTCTTTGTTTTATATTTTTGTATATATCTATATATACTTTTAAAACCTCCATTTTTAAAGATTTAACGACAAACTTCAAATATATAAGAGCTGCAAGACATAAACAAAATTGTTTTTTTTTATTGTCACATACATATTTTCTTAAAAGAAAATTTATAGAAATATTAACAAATACATTTATGCAACACTATTCATGTGGATAGTTTTTGCAAAATGTTACTTTGCATTAGTCTCAGTAATCACAAAATATGGTGTGGATAGTATAACAGTTATCAGCACAGAAATTAGAATGGGCAGAGCCAAGTTCAAATTTTCACCTAATTTGAGAAAGACATGAATCTATATCTTCTCCCCTAGTTATAGATTAAATAGTAGAGTAGGCTCGGTTTTTTAACCTTTGATGGCAACCAATCTAAGAGAATAATTAAATTAAAAAAAATGGAGAAAACAGGAAACCACTTTACTCTTTTTCTCCACCAGAGATTATGGCAATTTCCTGATAATAAAGAAATGGAATCTGTGGAGAGTCATGACCATCTACATCCTCAAGATATATGGCATAAAAAAAGATTGTAAAGTATGCATATATACCAAATGTTTTAAAAATTTTAACTATATGGAAATGAATTACAGAAACAACAAAGAAAAGTATGTGAATTAGCTTTTTAGTAACATCAAATTAGACTTTAAAAAGTAATAATAATATTTACTAGTTTTAACCCATAAAAATTTCACGGTTTTCCTATTTTAATGTTCTGATGAATCTTACTTAATTCTTAATGATTGAGTAACCTCATGATGAGTCCTCCAAAAATAAAATATCCATAGATATTCCCCTATTGCATTGTTAAATATTTGAGCTTAACAGCTTTAACAAAATATCACAATAATAATAATAATAAATATGAATGTGGGTTGTTATTTTAAGAAGTGGGTACAAATGAAAAGATTTGTAATTGACAACTTTTTCCATTTCACTGAAACAGCCATTAAACACTTCTATCTTACCTTCTTTCTTTCTTTCATTTCCTCACTGAAACCAAGTAATGTCATTTCTCCTTTTTCCACACAGTCAAAATGGAATAATCCATTATTTATGAGGTATTGGAAGGGTGTAATGGTTGTGAGAAGTAATGAAGCGAGGAACAAACACAATTATAACAGGATAAATATTAAAATTCCTTTTTGTATTAACTGTGTTGAGAAAAGGAGCTCAGCCAATGCAGAAGTTGTATATTAAATGTCAGAGAGATACAAATGTGTTGTGAGCTATGGTTGAGTCACCTCTGTTATATACCATCAAATACAGTAAAGCTTCAATTGTATCAAACTTTAAACTGAGAGGAAGCAAAGGAAAAAGGTTTTAAAAGGTATAGTTTTCTTAATTAAATCATATGTTTAAAAATATCAAATTTATTATATAATAAAAAAAAAGTAATTTAATCCTCTTTATCAAATTTTTTCCCAATAAATTTGATTTCTTTCATCATTATTTATAAGGTTAACAAAGGCCTTGTGAATCTTGCTGACGACTGTTTCATCAAGAAGGAACCCCTTGGTGTTGTCCTCATCATTTCGCCATGGAACTATCCTGTCCAGTTACTTTTCTCTCCTATGGTTGGTGCTCTGGCAGCAGGTAAATATTACACAAAACCATTTCCTTTATTATAAGAAATTTGAAAAGATTTTGTGCGCATATGTGTGCGTGTGTGTGTTGTATGTATGCATGTATATGTATATATTTTTGTTATTATTAAGAGGAAAAAAAACAAAATATTCTTTTATTATTTTATTAATTTTTTAATCCTTTCTACCACATTTAAAATTTTGTTTAAAAATCTTAATTTTTTTTTTCTGTCAGCAGTGGGCCAAAGATTACTATGGAAATTTGGGGGGGGGGCAGTAAAAAATAGATTGTCTTGGAAATTTTTGCAAAAATCAAATAATTGTCGGATTTTAATGTGATTTTACAAGATTTATTCACAAATGAATGAAATTATTTTGGAAATGTTTGTTTTTTTTAGAAAATCTTGGTAAAAATATTTTTTTACATCTGTTACCCTTACTTACTTAATTTTATGAAATCTCAAGAAATTCAATTTTGATTTGAATATTTTTCATGCTAGTTAAAAGCAGAACTCCTTGGAAAATGTAAATCATAATTTATTTTTTTCAAACAGTTATTCATTTATCAAAAGTCTGCTCCAAATCATAAAATAAAAAAATGCAATAAAACTATGACATTATTTAGTTAGAAAAGCTTTTAATTGCTTTTATAAATGAGATAGATCAAGGACACTATTGTCTTAAGAAAAAAAATTTTGCAATGAACTTTTACAAGAAGTGTTTTCATTTTTTAAAATTTTAATTATAATAATTTATAAAGTTTTAAATCTGTTATGATGTTGATTTGGGGTTAGTAGAGACAAACGCCAAATAACACGTAACAATAAAAAGGGTTTTAATAGGTTGGTAAAAAGGTACAGAAATCGCCTGAGTAGTCAATAACTAGCTCAGCTAAAAACTTCTCTGTCTATCTATCTTCAATGTCAACTGACATACCACTATTTAAAGTCTTTGTTCACAGACGCAGACAAGTTCATCTTCAAGAGGGGTGGTAGGTTTCCGACACAACAAAATCTTTTAAAATTCTGTATTAATTTCCACCTTTTAGATTATATTAGTATTAAGTGTAAACTGTATTTGCTAATCATAAATATAAAAGCTTAATTCAAATCAACACACCAAGATTTTTAAAAGAATTTTGAATTTTTGTATTAGTGTATAAATGTGCTGATTTTTGTAAGTACAGTCAACTATACATGACATTATCATTTCCATATTTATTTAAAAGTCGAAACCTGTTTGGATTTGTAAGAGGTCATTTACATTACATGTTGCTTTCAATCGCCCTCTCTTGAAGTCCTGACTGGGTTTGACACTACCTGTGCTGATACATGTTGCATGGGCAGGGGATTTCATTAAATCAATCTTATAAAAAAATGAAAAATAAATAAAAATATTATTATTAATTTTATTTATTTGCTTTGAGTTTCATTAAAAATTTAATATAAAGCAGCAGCAATAATCAATATTTTTCTTATTCCTTTATTCCTTATTTATTATTTTCAGGGAATTGCATTGTACTGAAACCCTCTGATTTGGCACCAAACACTTCTGAACTTATAGAAACTCTTATTCCCAAGTACATGGATTCAGTAAGTGTGATGTTGATATATAATTTGTTCAGTTTGCTTCTTATGAACTGTTTGCAGTTGTCTAGATCAAAGTTTACCAAATCATTGGATATGTCGTGACAGACCATTGGCATGGGCACCACACTCCCCCTTGATCTGATACCCTGTGACTTCTGGTTATGGGGTAATGATAAAGGATCACGTGTATAGCAAAAAAGTTAGAGACATAGAAGAACTGAAGGACAGAATAAAAGGTATAATATCAAACATTCCCCATGAAATGTTTGTCAAGGCACTAAATTGTACTGTTGATCTGCTAGTTTTTGTGCATCAGTTGTGCTGGTAGACAGTTGGAGACTATTCAGTAAACTCTGAATAAATAATTCCTCTCATATTAGTGTTAACATAATTTTGACTCACCCTCTCATACTAGTGCTAACATAATTCTGACTTACCCTGTACATGTAATAATTCAAATATAAATAAAACATATCTGTGCAGACGATATAAGTAAAAGAAGAGATAAAAGGAAAATATTTCATACCAACATGTTTCGTTTCTTGAGGATCTTTATCAAGGTAAATATAGAGATTATGACTACATCCAAAACTATTATGGATATGATCAGAACCAAAAATGTCCAAAATAACAAGAA